ACTCTATTTAAACCACTGCGGCTCGAGTTCGAGGTTGTCTTTCTCCAGCCAATACCTGAGTTGCAGAAAATTCATCTTGATGACTTCTTCAGATCTGCTGTCCTCCGTGCTGCTGAAAGCATCACCTAAATTCCACTTCAAGGCTTTGAACCTTGCAGGAGCTCCATGTTGCCATGAGCCTCGTTCACAAGGCTTTATGCAATTGGTCTTTCTACAGCTGGCTCCTTCCCCACCTTGGCTCCTACCCTGCCTGCCATGTACCTTAGGTGCCAAGGTGTCTGTTCCTCAACATCTTCTAAGTAAGTTTGTTTTCAAATTTGCTATCACTTATTGTCCATGAAAGGGAAAATTTAGTAATGGGAAACAGAAAGAAAGAGATGGCAAGCGAGTAATCTGTTTCTGTTAGTAGCATATTAATGTCATTCTTGCTCCCTTCTACCACCTCCTACACTGTTAATCATCTCTTAATACAGACTAGAATGGTGCGCAGCAAAGTCAGAATGCTTCCAAAAGAAACAAAAACTTTAAAGAAATAACTGAACTGAAAAGCAATTGATGCAATGTGTGTTGTTTGAGAAGATCATAAATTATGTAGTACCCCGTATATATCATAATTTTTATGTTTCAATGCATTAATAAAAAGTAAAAATTAGAAAGAATATATGTTATAATTTCTTAAAATCTTTTAGACCTCTGTTATTAATAACAGTTTAGTTTTTTCAGGGGTGGCAGTTTTTTTTTAATTGTCAGGTATGGTGCTAAGTACTTTGCATATAAGTTTTCATGTAATCCCTATGATTCTATGAAATAGAAATTAAAATATCATTGTGTAAATTTATATGATATATCTGAAATGCAGTAAGTTTAGGTCAATTTGTTAAAGGACTTCCAACTGGGCCAGAACTTTAATAGACATTTTTATCAAATCTATGATTATAACTGCTGTATGATTCTGCTAAGAGTTTGCTTTATTTTAAAATTTTACTCCCAGTGATAAAATGAAAACTATGAAGAAATAATCCAAAGTAGGATGTTTAACTAATTTAACTTTAATTCTCTCTTCCAATGTTCATCCTAGGAGAAATAGCTTTGTGCTTTATCAAATCATGGATTCTTTTTAGACACTTTTTAAATTTTTCTGTAAAGTAATGGTACTCATGGGTCCAGGCCCACAGAGATAAAAATGAGTGAAAAAAGTATTTTGAGAGACAGTAGAAACTCCTATGGCAAAAGTGATTCACGCAGGGGTGAACACGGGGAGGGAAGCCATCAGATCCAGAGAGGGCTTGCATGTGGGCTGTGCTCTGCTCGGCAGGACAACAGCTAGGAGGCCAGCCAGGGACAGCTCCTCCGCTGCGAGCCACAGAAGCTCTGGTTCGAATCTCTTACTTAGGACGTAAAGGAAGAGTAAACAAGAACTCTGCTACCAGATGGGGACCCTTCTAATTAGTTAAGTCTGCTCTCATTTTTGGACACCAGTTGGCAGATGTAGCAGATGCCAAGGGAGTAAACAGAATATGTTGGCAGTTTTGAGTTTTAAACCAGTATATCACAGATAGATCCAATTTAGAAATATTTTCCCCTTTAGTTAAACTTCCTAACTTAATTTTGTCAAATGCCAAGAAGTTAGAGATACATGATGAGACAATTCTTTTGAGGCATTCTTAGTTTTGCCTATAAATCCATGGCAATGAAAGAAAGGTTTTTAGGCACCTTATCTCAGATCGTGTAGAGTAGAGCAGCAGTGCTTGTGAAAGACTGATATTTTCTCATAAACACAGATTAATGTGGTGTTTGTGATTGGAAAGCTATAAAATGTAAGAGCTAGGTTTTGGGAAAGCACATCTTGAATTGCACAGGAACATTAACATTGGCAACCGTAGGCTCCATTCCTGTCTCTCTGCATGGTAGGTGGTTCGTGGGCCACAGGCTCATGGACCTAAATGAGACACAGAGTCTGATGATTTTTCCCAGAGACAGACAAGAGGCCTCACCGTTATAGTGTAGTGTGGCCGCTGCAGTGTTGGCTGTAGGTCATGTATGTGAGGAGGATGTACAAGAAAGAACATAAAGGAGAATAAATAATTCCGCCTCTTTGAGTGGATAAATTGTCATGAAACTCTTTCCAGAAGTGATAATATATAGTGGGAAGTCTTTAAAGGTAAAAATTAGCAATGAAATAAGTTAAGAGAAGGGTTTCAGGCAAAGGCTAGTTTAAAAATAGAGATCTGTGTTTCAGAAAATGTCCACAGTGTGATAGAACACGGAGAATGGGATTTTGAGGAGAGAAAACTGTTGGAAGAGGTAAGGGCAGCGTGGACAGAACTTGATGGAGGAGATAACTTCAGAGCTTTGATTTAGGAAAAGAGGGGTCTATCGTGCTGCAGTTTATCCAGATGGTAAATGCAGGAGGAATGCCAGGCTTTAAGGAATGCAGCTCTGTTTTAGGAAAGAGCTCTGTTTTATAAATACTGAACTGATATCATTCATAGTGATTCACAAAAAATTAATGTGAACATTGTGCTAATGATGATGATGATGATGAAAATGCAAAATTTATTTAGCACGCTCATCATGTCTAATGCTGCACCAGGAACTTACCCATACGGATGCCTTCACTTCATCACAACCCAGGACAGATGTTCAGGTATTAGGAAGAACTGGTCTTAAACAGTCTATCCAATTTGAACCTAGCTACTTTGGGAACTGGATGGAATGCCCAGAAACTAGCTGGTGATTTGTTTCTGAACTTGAACAGGTAGATTAGAGTCATATACTTAACAATCATCCTCGGGTTGCTGACAGCCAAAGCTGTAAAAGTAGTTGTTTTTTCATCTGTCCAGTACAGTGGTTCCCACATAGGAGAATCATGGATAGACTTATAACTCTGAATTGCAGTGTTTCATGGTGTATTTCTTTCTTAGTTGGTGCTTTGTTTCAGATAAAGTCTGGCAATCACTGAACTCTGATTATTGGTATAGGTAAAGCTTTGATCTTTGAACTGATACATTGACACATGTATCTTCCAGTCCTCGTATTTTTTTTTAATCTCTAGAAAATGGCCTTTTATCTTGTGGCCCAATATGAAGGAGCACAAGGAAAAGAGACAGGAGAGAACAAAAAACTGATCTCATTAGTCTTTTAAATTGATATCCCTCTTTCAGTTTTAACTTGGTCATTCCATCGTGTCTCTCGAATGAATTCCTCTTTTTCTAGTAGTATTAAGCACACAGTGTCCCCTTCCTTTCTTGCCATGTATTCAATTGAAAATTTCCAATTAATAATTTGGTTATGAGTTACAATTTTATGTATTCTTTTTTACTTATGTATAAGGTATTTTTGTAACCTGTTTTAACAACTTTAGGAATTTCCCAGATAAAGCAATGTGTAATGCATTGGGTTTTCCTTGTTACAAAATAGAAACAAAAGCACAAGTGAGAACTAAGAGGAATTTATTTTGATATTTTGAAAATGCCCCAGAGATAAGCTCATAAATTTGAGTAAGTGAGAGTACAAATTATGCAGGCTTACACTGGAAGACAGAAGAAAGTGTGTCCCATTCCATTCCTCGGTAATGTGTACAATTGAAATACTGACTCAACCTTAGGGCACAGGGATAGCATTCTCTGGAAAGCGTGAATAACAAAATTAGAATCTTTCTTCAGGTCAAAACTCAGTTTTGCTTTGATAAATGCTGAAAGGAATGACAAAACAAGCAGGAACTTGAGGAAGGAAAATTCTGAAGTCACTTTAGCATGTTTAAACGCATTGCTTGTTGGGTACCAGACTTAACAATGGCCATTTCTTCAGGGACATGCCTACTGTGGTCACAGAAGCATCTGATATCACAAAGAGTATCATCAAGACGTTTTGATTTCCTTTATTCTTCTTTGACTTTACCAAGTCAGCTTCATATCTTTCACAGAAGATAAAATGCCTTGACCTTTCATGATTTTGGCATTTACCATAAGACATCTTAGCAACTGAAGTGTTTCTTTGGCTGAATATTTAAAAGACAGTTGCTGAATGTTTTATCTTGGATAGAGGTAAATCTATATATTCTTAAGCCTCGGTAGAAACTTACACAAGAGAGATATGGAAAAGTCTTTGTGTGTTGTTTGCTTCTCAAAACAAAGTTACTTTAGCTTAGATAAAACATTTTTCAAGTATTTAAATAATTCAGTTTATGCAATTTATGAGTAAGAACTTGAACAGCTTTAGCCTGTTTTACGTGGAACCATTCCTGGATGGCTGGTATTTTATGCGCAAAGTGCAAGCCATGTTTTGGGGTCAAATGTGAGGGTCCTTGAGGTAAACTAATACTTGGAATGTCCACTTCACTCTCTGTGCACTGTGTAGCTTGGACTTCGCAGAAGTTCAGTGGGGAACGTAATAGAAGTTATCTAATAAGACTGTGAGCTTTCACTGAATAAACACATGTATATATCTTAGAAATGTACCTAGTGCAACGTAACAGCCAATATATATTGCTTCTCGACTATTTGTTTTGCTATGGTTCAAAATAGAACAAAGTTTTTCAAAGTCATTTGGTGAACATTAAAGTTTCAGAAACTTTTAGCTAAACCTTATTTTTGTTTTAATTGATATGTATTACAACCCTATGAAAAATAAATGAAAAAAATGAAAAGAGAAATTCATCTCTATTATATCCATTCCCACTTTTTCGAAACCACTAGCAACAATCTGAAGTATATTTTCCCAGATTCTTTTCTATTCATACACAGATGACTTCACTATACAAACATTCCTTTGAAATTGCTTTAAAAATTATTCTAAAATAAATAACACAACCTTTTCAGATTAAACATATAGATCTGCTTCTATATTTTAATTAGGACATGTTATTCTATATATATTATAAAATCCCTCCTTGAATAATATTAAATTTGACTCTAAATTTGCTATTTCAAACATGGCAGCCAATAACATTCTGATACACTCATCAAAAACAAAAACTGGCCCCAAAGGCTCAGTTGAGAACTGCAATTTCAACCCTTGGGTGAAGATCTGGTGTAGCATCGGTTTTTATCAGTTTAATATCTGATTTGCTCCATCCAAGGGAAAGGTATTAGAAGGATTTTTAGAAAGAGGAGATGAAGTGGGGTTTGCTCCATCAACTCTGTGCAATTGTGTTGGTATTAAAATGCTTTCAGGGATTATGGACATATTAAAACAAAAACAGATTCAAAGAATGAAAACCACAGGTTCATCTAGTTTGACTTCCTTATCATGTAGAAAATTTAAACAAAAGCATGAGTCGACATTGATAAATCAGGAGAATTTAAATGAATTTCCTGAATTTTGGCTTCCCTAAAATACTTAAAGATCAACAATCTCCATGTCTGGTGTTTCACATTTCAATAAATAACTTTGATAAAGTAAGGCTTTTACATTAATGAATTCACACTTACTCCTCCTGTTCCATCTCTATTACCCCTCACTTGGTTGGTTTTCCTTTGTTAAGGGATCCGTGTTGTTTTCCTAAGCCTTTAAGTTTGTGATCTATGAGATGCATCATTAAACATTTGGATCAGTATTACTAAACTAGAGTCAAAATATTGAGACTTCTGGGTCAAAGGGTGGATCATGCTACCTACTTGTTAGCCCTGTGGAATCATTTTTCAAGTTATAGTTAAAGGCTCTGAATATTTTTTCTTCCAGACTCTTGGATAGAAATAAATGCAACATCAGTCAAGTAGAAGGAAAGACCTTTTGCAGATCCCGGAACCACAGAAACTTATCTCAAGGTCTGATAAGCTGAAACTCAGGGTTATGTATGAACTTGGGTCATCAGGCAACAGATACAGAGCCTAAAGGCTGGTCAGAGAACCGTGGGTAGAGCTCAGAGAACCAATGAGTGCTCTTGATGTCCCCAGGGAAGCCATGAGTATCCTGAACTTGGTGGGGTGGAAAGGACATGATTTTCTGGAGCTTCTGGATGCCCCTCTCTTTGAACTGGCCTCTTAAAAGGCAACACAGCTGTGCGGGGATGGTCACTGCTCACATCGCTGCTGCAATGCAGGGTCAGAGTAGAAATCAAAGCTCTCTGGCCATGTTGTGTCCCTTCATCCTCCAATCATCTGAATGTGCCTCCTGTGGGCCAAAACTTGTAGCCTCCAGATTAGGACAAATGCATCCAGTTACCTCACAGGAGTCCAAGCAGGAGGTGGAGATTATAGCATGGCAGAAGCGTGCAAAGGCAGAACAACTAGCCTAGGCTGTCTGGTCTCAATTGTCCTAAAATATTTGCTGCATTATCTTTTGTGATCATTACATATTTTTTCCTAAAAATAATATTAAGTTATCTAACCATGAAAGTCTGTACTTTATAAACATTTATTGCAACCCTTTTAAATTATTAAAGCACACATGGGAAAACTCTCACAAGATAGTAATCAGATACATAGAAAAGTCATTATCAATTTGAAAAATAGATATTTTTAAAAAATTCATGTGGAATTCATTCAACTTTTTGGCTTTACCAACAATAAGATGAAAATATAAGGGAAGCTTTTATATGCTCTTCACAAAAATATACGAGGAATAGATTTGTCAAGGGGGACCTCTCATGTACCTCATTAATAGATCTGCCTAGGCAGTGAGTAGAGTTTCAGAGAGAGGGCTTTGGAAGTTGGGAGAAAACCTCTTGGCAGCTTCCTGACAGAGCTGTGTGGGATCAGGCCAGCTCGACCAAGGTCATCTGCTGCCCTGCAAATCAGGCCAACTGGGGTCCAAGCACCCTAGGCACACTGCTCCCCTCCACCCCATTTGTGCAAATTCCTACCGAGAACAGGCTGTGAGAGTCCGCTAACCTGATTACCATGGTTGCTGCTTTCTATGCCTGCTCAACACACTGAACATTAAGCAAGCTAGTGAATATGACTCTGACATGCAGTTTATTTGGACAGTGAAATCTAAGTGGAATTCAGTTTTAAGAAAAAATGGAGAAGATGGCTTCCTAAAAAATTACCAGCAATGGATTTAGCAATAGGAAATTTGGAAGGTGAAAGATTCGTAAAAATATGACACTTGCAAAACTTTTTGAGGATACATTCTGTTGAAAGCTGCTTTTATAATGTTTTGTCATGAAAAAATAAAAAGTGGATATCACATTATGGGTTACATGTATGGTTTATGCAAGAGAGCAGGAGGTGGAATTCTGATTTCGGCCATAACCTAAAGATTATAACTGAAGCATTTCTCTAACTTTAAAATAAACCAATATGTAACATATTGACATCACATAAGAGTACTTGTGGCTATTTTTTTTATTAATTAACTAATTAGAAGTCCTGAATGAATTTGATGGGAGAGCTTCCTTTTAATTTCATCTATGAAGATAAGGTATGCTTCCTGAAGAAAGAATATTTTCATCTGGGACCTTGCTAGATATTTTATTACTGGTCTTATTTACTTAAGGAAGTGAGCTCTTCCTAAGTGGGTAAATCAGTTACAGTGAGCAAACATTTATTGAATTTCCATTGCCTTCAGGATAAAAGATGTTACCGATTATGACATAAAAGCATATTCATGATATGGTTTGCACTTATTTCTTAGGATTTTTCCCCCATGCCTACCCCATCCCATCTCATCTGGCCTCTCTTGCTGGAATAGTGAGATACAGTGCTAGGGTTTTGGGATCTCCCCAACCTGTCCCCATATTGTACCTTGGTACATACTTTTCCAGGACAGTGAAATGACTATCTTGTTATACCAGATGTGTGGAGAATGGTGATTATTCAGTTAAAATTGTTCATTGAAAAAAATCACATTGCTTTATCTACTGTTTCTACACCAAATTCTCATTTTAAGTTAAGACAAAGATTTATGAAGGAAACTACTTTAGGGGGTTCGGTACTGTCCCCGGCTTCAGACATCCAGTGGGAGTCTAGGGACATTTGGCTAAGGAAAACTGTTGTATTATAGAATACATGTAATATGATGAGTTCTTAAACATGTTGGTAAAAAGATTTATAGTGTACTAAAATGTTCATTACATTATTTGAAATGTCCATTACATGTGTTGTCAAAAAAACCCTAGCTAAGATATAGTGTTAGCTTAAATACATAAAAATAAGTAGATGGAAAAACGATGGAAAACTTTAAACTCTAGGTGGTGGTATCAGATTGCAGGTGCTGTTACATTCTGTAGTTTCTAATATTTCAATAATTAAAATATATTAATTTTGATCATTAGTGATGAAAATTTTAAAGAAATATCAATACTTTGTTCAAGGGTCATCACCCATTTTATGAGTTTTCTTGATCTATTGATTTTTAACAATCATGACTCTCTCTCTCTCTGCAATGTCATTTTTCTATTACTCGTATAACTAAGTTTATTGAAGCTATTTCTTTACTTGTGTGGCTTCCTAACCAGTCAGAAGAGTCTTGGAGGAAAGTGGTTGCTTCACAGTTTCTCTCTACAATGGATATATGTTCTGGTAGCAGCCTACACAACTCTGGAGCTCAACCAATATGCAGAGAACATTACCACCTCAACAAACTCAGCAGTGTTCCCTAAATGCCGGGCAGAGGGAAGCAAGAGTGATGCTAAAACATATTTCCTAAAACACTCTTGGCAGACTCATGCAATCATTTTAGCTCAAGACAGTGCTAAATCATTTTCAACATCATTAGTGTATTAATACTATACATGAAGACAAGTTTACCCTGAACTTCCTCCAGGGTTGCTTCATATATTTTACCTGATGTGTTTTCAGAAGAGGCCTGAGGAATTTCCCACATTGCTTTGCAAAGAATTGCTAATGCAGTAGTGGAGTTTCATTTGTTTTCTTCACAATGAATAACACTTATCTTTACTTACTACCTTTTCCCACTTTCTATTAGAATGCAGTGCATCTTATATCTTGCCTCAGAAGATTATGACATTACCCTTGGCCCATGGTTGTTATGTTGTGAGAGTTAAGTGAGTTTCTTAAGAATCTCTCGATTTCATGAGGAAACAGACTGAAAGCTTAGTTCTCAGACTAGTGACCCAGTTGCCTCTTTGCTGGTGTTTTAGTTTAAATTAATAGATGTAATTGTAATGGGAGCACTTTGGTATTCACCTTGCTCCTAGATGATAGAAAATCAAAGACAAATAAAAAAAGACTGCCAGGAGAAAGCAGACCAGAGCTCCTTACGTCCCAAATTGGAGTTCAGGAGCTACCATACCAGAAAGTGTGTAATGTCGCTCAAGCGACATAACTGAGAGAGGGTGGGCACAAACCGGGCAGCAGGGGGGAGATGGGGTGTTCTCAATGGCCAAGTTTAGTCTTACGTGTCAGCTGGACTGGGACATGGGATGTGCAGAGACCTGGCTGAGCCCTATCTTTGACCGTGCTTGTGACGATGCTTCTGGAAGAGATGGATTGGCCTTTGAGTCAGTGAACTGAGTGAAGCACATTGCCTTCCCCACTGTAAGTAGGCTTTCATTTAATCAGCTGAGGGCCTGAATAGGACAAAAAAGCAGAAGGAGGGTTAGATTAATTCATTTATTGGTTCTCAGTAATCCTGGAACTTAGGTCTTCAGACCCAGGCTGGAATCTAGTCATGGCTCCCATGATCTCAAGTTCTTAAACTATCCCACTAGCTGTCTGTCCCTCTAGCAGCCGCCTGACTCCAGACTTTGGTTCTTCTCAGCTTCCATGACTCTGTGAGGTATGCAGTATTACTCATGGAATTATATCCCTTACGGCAGAATTTATTATAACTTGGGGTAAAGCTCTTGGTAGGGATGGACAAAGATAAATATTGTATCTATTGAAATGTATGGGGGATATTTAAATTAGAAATTACTATTGTAACGGACACCACATTGCCACTGATCCCCCGCAGGCTACTCTCCCACTGACCACTCTTATGCCATCATTTTTGCTGCCCTCTGAAGCAGTTCTGGAAGTCTTCTTTCGTGAAAGTCAGTAGTTGTGCTTCTGTGGTTGCCTTAGTGTCCCGAGTCGATTCCAGGTATTTACCTTTCATGATCATTTTGGTTTGGGGGAAGAGCCAGAGGTGGTATGGTGCCAGACACAGTGAAAAGGGTGGGTAAGGTCTCACCAGGATGTTTTTGTGAGCCTGCTGCATTGAATGGCCCTCAGCACAAGATTTGTGGCTAAAATCTATGAGAATTCTGTGAATGAGGATCGAGGGGTGCTTCAGAAAGTGCA